GCGCCCTCGCAGAATGGCACACAGCGGTGCAAGGCTGGGCCAACAAAACAAGTTGGGAAGCTGGAAGTAGCTGAACGCGGCTGTGCTGGGTGACCCTGGGTAGCCTGTGTCCTGGCGGGACGTGACTGTGGTGGGCGACCCTGGGTAGCCTGTGTCCTGGCAGGACATGACTGTGGTGGGTGACCCTGGCTCCACAGTTATCTCCAACTCTGAGCTTCTTTTCCCGGGTTTCAGTAAGCCTGACCCCGAGGAACCCCACTTTTATGGGCGCTCTTATCACAGAGTGGGTGCTGGTTTTGATCTCTCCTAGAGAGACAGGTCAAGTTTTCCTACTTGTGAGAGAACTCATGTCCTAGGCCAATTTTTCCAAAGGAGAAATACCAGGAAACTCCCTTCTTTCATGATCTACAGGCTTTTAGGGAACCCTGAAGAGCGGTCTAGATTTTTGGGTGGTTTTTAAGAATAAGAAGTTAAAGGTCAAACCTGGTATGGCGTTGAACACCTGTCAATCTCAATCTCAGCGGCTTGGAGGCTTTGGCCAACCTGAGCCACAATCTCACACAGAGTGAAGCCTATTTTAAAAAAAAAAAGAGCTAGAGATACACCTTGCAGACGGAATGCCTGCCTAGTCCATGTGGACTGAGTCGCATCCCTAGGGTTACAGGAGAAGGGAAGGAGAGGGAGACAGGGAGAAAAGACCTCATTTCCTTTACTCCTAACCATGAACAGGGCAGCCTGGGGAGCAAGGGCACTGCAGGGGCAGCTCAGGGTCAGGCTCCGGAAGAGCATGGCCTGAGGGCCTCAGGTGACTCGCTCACTAGTGTGCCTTCAGCGTGTGATGGAACCTGGCCTAGAGGTCTGCGGTGTTTATGTGACAAACGTAAATTGCCAAAACGTGTCACCCTTACAAAACACTGCAGGGTCGCAGAGACAGTTTAGCAGATCAAGTTGCTTGCTGCCAAATCTGATGACCTGAGTTTGAATCCCAAGGCCCCCATGATGGAAGGACAGACAACTCCTGAAGGTCCTCCGACCTCTGTGTGCAGGCTGTGGCACTGTGTGCACACAAAACACACACACACACACACACACACACACACACACACACACACACACAAACCCATAAAGGAATTTTTCTGTTTATTTGAAACAGGGTATCTCTATATAGTTCCGCTGTCCTGGAAGTATGTAGACCAGGCTGGCCTAGAACTCCCAGAGATCCTCCTGCTTCCCAAGTGCTGGGATCAAAGGTGTGTGCCACCACATCTGGCAAAAAGTGTGCTTTTCTCTTTTTAAAAAAGACGAGGCTGTAAACCGGATGCTGTTATTCTCCTATGGAGGTTCTTCCCGTGGTCCTCCACTGCGTCCAGCCCAGGTTTTTCCCAGTCTCTTGCCTCAGCAGGCACCCACTCTCTCCAAGCTGGCTCTCATGACCCGGCTGCTTTCCTATTCTTGGCTGTTGTGGCCCCAGCAGAGTTCCTGGCTCACCAGATGCTAACAAAGAGTATGGCAAGGAATGCCAGGGGGAGGGGACATGGGTGCTCAGGCAGTACAATGGAATCTAATCGACTCACTGAACTGGGTGTGGGGATATCTGCCTGTCACTCCAGCACCTAGGAGGTTGGGGGGGGGGAATCAGAAATCCAAGGTCATTCTTTTTCTTTTTCAAATTAATCATTTGAATATGTATGGGTGTTTTGTCTGCATATATGTCTGCATATCACACACATGCCTATGTCCACTGTGGCCAGAAAAAGATATTGGATGCTCTGGAGCTGGAGTTATAGATGGTTGTTGAGCCGCCACGTGTATGCTGGGAATTAAACCTGGGTCCTCTGGAAGAGCAGCCAGTGCTCCTGACCACTGACTCATCTCCCCAGCTCTGCTCTTAACTGCTTAGCAAATCTAAGAGCAGCTTAGGATATATATCAGACTCCATCTCAAAACAACAGACAGAGGAGGGAGAGGAGAGGAGAGGAGAGGAGAGGAGAGGAGAGGAGAGGAGAGGAGAGGAGAGGAGAGGAGAGGAGAGGGGAGGGGAAGGGAGGTAGGGAAGGAGTAGGGGGAGGGAGAGAGATGCAGAAAAACGGAAAGAGGCCATGCACCCAACTGAATGGCCATACTTTCAAAGGTTATCATTAAAGAAGCCCAGAGTGGACTTGCTGTAAAATGAAAAGAAACAGGAAATTCGTTCAATTCACCTCTCCTCATGGAGCCTGAGAGGTGGGACACGGGAAGACCAACGTTTCTTTAATAATGAAATAATTTATTTGTTAATGGACGGACACATTAAGTTTACACACAGCAAGGAGTCTCTAAATCATGATGGGTTCTAAAGACACAAGTGCTAACTGCAGCCCCCCACCCCCCAAGAGCACCGTTCTCCACAGCCTCAACACAGGCTTACACTGGAACCATATTTACAGAAGGAAACATCTGGAAACATTTCCCACTCTTCACCTGTACTCTCCCGTGGAGGCTGTTCACCTTCAGAAAGATGGTCCCCCAGACTAGCCACGCAGCCACATACCAGGAGCACCAATTCGAGGGACAGCGGTAGAGGCAAGCTTGGTTCTTAGATCAAAGCTAAAATGAAGGATGCCCATTTGACCCACTGCCCCTCCCAGACAGAGCAAGAACTCAAAGTAAGAATCCAGAAACAGCATAGGACAGAGCGCCTTCCTAATTCTCACTGTGTGATTTCGAGATGGCATACACACTCAGTTTCCTTGGCCATCCACGATCCGAATGTAATGGTGCCCATTGATCGGTTCTTCTTTCAGAAGACCACAGTAAAAGAAAATTATAAGAAGTACTGATGGATCACACTTCACACCACCTCAACCCAGGATCTCTGAAAACAAAACATGCTGCAGACTGCTCTGGGCACACCGAACGAGAGAAGCCAGCACACAGTCAAAGGTGCGGGATGGTCTTCTCCCAGAAAGCACTAAGCTAGGAGTGGCAGCTACTGAAATACCAAAGAGACACGGAAATAATAGAAAACACACAGGGAGGGTAAAGAAGGAAGACAAAATGATGTAGCTACCTCAGTAAAGAAACAGAAAACATGATTTCGGTGGTAGGTTACAAAGCACAATAAAAGTGGTATTCCTGCCAATACAGCATGGTATAAAACCTTAATGTGTCTATATACGCTCTTCAAAAAATAAGTTCTCTCTTGAAGGGACAGGGAAGAAGGCAAGAGGGGAAAAGTCCACAAAACTCATCGTCAAGTCCCCAAGATATTGCTAGAAGGTTTTGAGTATCATATGCCATCTTCTGTGTTCTCAGACCCCAAATACCCTTGGCCACATCAAAGATGGGGAGAAAGGCCACAGGAAACCTTGGCTTCTGCTGAACCCAGCAGTAGGGAGATGAAAAACCACTACTTTAAAACCAAACAATAAAACTACTGCAGCAGCCACTGCAGGGTTGGGCCTGCCCAACTCACCCGTAGCTGCTGGAGTTATTCCAGCCTTGGGTCAAGGGGGAGCAACCAGGTCCTGCTGAGACCACGTAGCCTTGCTAAAGCAGCGGCAGGTCTCCAAGGACAGAGGCAGCTGCCAGCTGCTACCGAATTCAAGATACCTGGTCAGCAAAAGAAAACCCAAATCAAAACGTGCTGGGTGCTCGGCATGCAACCAGAGCCAGTCTGGTGCTTTCCAGGACGATGCAAATGTTTCCTTGTGTCATGGAAGTAAAGTCGATGGTGAGTCCAAAGTATTCCCACTTGCATTGTGACCGTGTCGGTGAGTGCAGCTTAGATTTTAGTTTCAAAAGGAACTTTCACATAAAAATAAGCACGCGCCTTCATGACACGTTTCTGTTCACATATGATGTCAATGTCATAACAGCTGGGGCTCACACCTTTGCCCCCCGCACCACCAACCTTAACAGAAAGGTTTTTCCTTTTGCTTAAGGAACAAAAGCCATTCTCCAGACTAGCTCTTGGCAGCCGTGCTGGTGATAGTGAAGGAGAGACTGGGGTGGGAATTAGCTGCCCCGGGCTAAGCCTGCAGGCCCCCAAACTTCAGTTTTGGTCAGAGAAAAACCTGCCTGCCACCCTGCCTCAGTCCACCTCAAAGCTCCAACGCCAGGCCTGACCTTGGCAGTTAGTCTGTCACAAGTATTTTAAATACAGAGATCTACCACACGTGTGTGCAAGGACCAGACAACAGGGCGGAGGTCAAATAGTTACTGCTTTATGTTAGGACAGTACATGTCATGTTTCAACCAAAGACCAAAAAAAAGAAAAAAAAAAAAAAGCAGTTTAACTCAAAGGTGAAACAATTAAAACACAGAAACTAACGGCATCTCTCAGACACCTAAGTGAAATAAACGTGCACAAGTTTTGTCCCCTGGGCACCCCGCAAACTTCTCCCACGGTCTTGGCTTTCTGCCAGCTTGGATGCAGTGAGTGGACACGAGGCCCTCAGGGTCTAGCGGGTGGGGATTGAGGGGGGCACCTCAAGGCACAGCTGTATCTTCTAGACAAAGGACAGACCTGGCCAGCCAAACACCTCCACCTACTCAGACTCTGGAAGGAGCACAAATGCCAATGGACCCAGGCTGTGTTTTCTGTGCTAATTTTCAGCTGGTATTTGGGAAACACTTCAGCAAGGGGAGGGAGTCGGGGAGAGAAAAAACAGGGCTTGGGGATCATTAAGAAAGCCATGACTTCCAAGGACCCCAGTGTGACCTTGTGTGGTCAGAGTTTGTTTGGATCTGAGGACAGGTGTAGGACTGGGTAGCCGCCTGCTGCCGAATTTGCCATGGAGTTTTTAGGTGGCACCCGTGGATCTCAGGAATGTTCCATTACTCCATGACACGGCTCGGCTCTGAGCAGGCCACAGATTTTACAAATGGTTCAGACTCAATGAAAAAAAGATTCACCAGAGGCTGAAAACACCCAGACCTCAAAATACAAATGCAAAAATAGTCAGGGGAATGAACTAATTTTGTAGACAGCTACATACAAAGTTTCTAGAACATCTATAAAAGCAGTCATAAGAATTTATATTCCATTCCATTCCATTAGTCTCTATAAAATGAATAAATAGTATTTATAGGTTTGTGTGTCTTATGTACAATACACGTGTGCTCTGGTTTAGCTTAAATAAAAATGCCACAAGGGAAGAAAACATCATCCTTTCCAGCCATCAACCAGAAGTCTCCAGAAGGAAGCTTCCAGATGTGTCCAAAAATATCTCAGCAGGAGGTTTTGGTGACATGGGGACCCTCCTGTTTACTTGCCACATAGAAGAAATGTGGCCTCTTTCTCTCAGAGACAGTGGCTACTAGCTCAGCCAGCGCCAAAACTCAGTTATTGCTGGGAGTCCGACAGGAAAACAGGTGGGAGTGGGGCCGTGGGCAAAGAAGCATAATCACTTTCGTTACGTGGGCAATGGAGATCTCATCTATCTCTGAGGTAGGACAATGTTCCAGAGACAAGTAGCATCAACAAACTCGGGGCGCGGGGGTGCCTTGAGACACAGCACACAGCCAGGTCCCCAGAACAACACTCAGGGGGCACACTGTTCTCCTGAGCTGCCGAGTGTCCGCTCTTCAGTGGGGACACGATGGCACCGCGGCGGGGCCGCAACAGGGCTTGCTGGAGGTATTCCTGGCTTCTCAGTGCTCTGCAGTTTTGCTTTCAAAGCTTCCTTTGGGGTTTCTGAGATTGAGTTCCCTTTGAGAAGTTTGCTTCGGTTTCCTATGTGCCAGACAAAGTGTGAACTTCTCTCCTGGGCGAGTACCATCATAAGCCAGAAAACTAAGACAGGCCTGGCCAGCTGCAGGAGGACAGTGTACAGGGGGCTGCTGAGAGGTGAAACTTGCTTAGGGCTAAGGATTCTTGGGTGCTTCAAATTGACTGGAATGTACGGTCTCTCAGCGTTGACGTGGATGGACAGAGAAGCTACTGACCGCACTCAGAACCACAACCCTACGAGCTTTCTGCAAAATGGACAGAGCTGATTTTGGTCAAGGTGGTACGTGAGGTTGGCGTGCAAGGGCGTCTGGGCAGGTCTGGTACACTACGTGATCAGATGAGAGGACCCTTGGGCCCTCCCCTAGAGCCCGAGAGCTGCCTTGTGCCCAGCCTGGAGCTTGGCTCTCTTGACGCTGGCACTGGAGTAGCCCTCGTCACTGCCCAGGCTCTGCATGCTGCTTCGCTCGTCAGAGTCACTCACGCTGCTGCTCCAGCCCAGGTCCCCAGTGAGGTAGTCTGTGCTCTCCACGTCCACATCCACGTCTACATCCACGTCCACATCCAGCTCTTCTACAGGGGAGGAGACACAAGGGTGAGGGCCTGCTACAGAGCCCTCAGGACATCTCAGAGTTTCCTATACCCCTTCTTGGCTGCTACTATCTAACTCTTTTTTTTCTAAATTTATTCTATTTTTTAAGATACATTTTTATTTTATGTGTATTGGTGTCTAGTCTGCATGTCTGTTGTCTGTGTGAGAGTGTTGGATCCCCTGGAACTGGAGTTGCAGACAGTTGTGAGCTGCCATGTGGATGCTAGGAACTGAACCTTGATCCTCTGGAAGAGCAGTCAGTGCTCTTAACTGCTGAGCCATCTCTCCAGCCCCTACAATCTAACTCTTTGTAGAGGGGCTAATCAGTCCTGCTGCTCAGCCCCAAAGGCCTGAGCCCTCTCTTTTTTATAGTTTATTGCATTTTTATTCCGTGTGTGCATGAGTGCACAAGCAGAGGTGAGAGATGACTTTTGGGGACTGGTTCTCTCCTTCCACCATTAGTCCAAAAGGGTTCAAACTCAGGCTTAATGGCAGGTACCTTTACCTACTGAGTCACCTTGACAGCCCCTATGAGCCCTGTCTTATCTGCTCTGAGAACTGGCTCTGTTGCCTGAAGCCCCCCTTGGCAGGTGTGGCTCACCCCTGTCTGAGTCAGAGCGTTCTGAGGACACCACAGAGCCCACGCTGTCCATCCGGGTCCTCTCGGCACCCAGTTTCTCCAGCCGCCGCTTCAGGTGCCGCTGCTCCCGCTGAAGCTGGTCTATTTGGTGGACAGCTTTTCTGTCACAATCTTCAAGTTTCTGCAAGGCAAAGGGTGGTTGCTAGAGTCTATGGGGTGTCTTGTATACCAGCAAAGAACCTGTACCCAGCCTGCCAGCAGGGAAATGTGTGTCGTCTGTCAAGCTTCTCTTCTGGCCTGGGAGTTGACTGGCCAGTTACTAGGGGCTTTGTCTAACTTCAGCATGCACTGTGGGGCTGGCCTGTCACAGAGATGCAGGGAAAGCTCAACAGTTTGAGTCTTACACCCCTTAACCTTGGTAACCCAGAATACTAGACCCCTGACCTAGTCCCCATATCTGCAGCAGCCCTCTGAACACCTCAGCACTGGAAAGCCATGTGACAGGTGATAACACTTCTATTTAAAAAGACGTTTATCCCAGCACAGTCCCAGTAACAAAGTAAGTTCTTACGTCACGCCAAACCCCAATTAAATTCTGTTGCTAGCGGGAAATCAGAGCCTTTTTAAAGTACTGACTCCAAACTGTCCAAGAGAAGTGCCTGGAAGCTTCCACAGTGACTTATTCTTACAAATCTGCCCCCAGTTCCTCATATTCTGCAGGTAATTAATGAGAGTGTTTAACTGTAGCTGTTTTGCTTCCAACTGAGGCTCTCTCCCAGAGCTGTCCTGATGCAGGCTGCTAACCGTTAATAAACTAGTATTTGTCTAACCAAGCCATGGCTGAACGGCGCTGTTGGCTGTGGCTCAGTAGTGCGCAGGGAGCCCGCACAGACAGACACTGTGAGGTGCTCAGGATGCACGACACACAAAGGCCTGGCTCCCTCGTGGGGCTCCAGCACAGTTCTGGGGACAGCCAGCCACCATACAGGACACTGGCAAATGTGCACAGGGCCCCATGACAGGAACGGCTCAGCAAAGGCTTCAAGCCCTGGGAGCCCGTGCAGAGGCTGGCGGCATGAGGAGAGGCTAGCCATGGAGAAGAGGGGACAAGCTACTGCAGAGGGAATGCCAGGCATGCTGGCCCCGGCTCCAGAACAGGAGAGACCAAGAGAGACCCAGTGACAGCTCCTCCAGAGTCTCGAGGCACTGAGAATAACATGCGTAGCTGCACTACAGCAGGTTTGCTTTCCAGGCTGCAGCAGATGTGTGTGGGGCACAGGGCATGGGAGACAGTGGTGGGTGCTAAGGGCACATGTCAGGCTTGGTGATGGTGGGGATATCAGTGGCTCAAGGCACCAGGGCCTAAATTTCTGATTGGGCCCTCTAACTGGGTTTTGGATGTTGGGGAGGGAGGCAGGGTTAGGAGGAGCCCAGAGAAGCAGCAGAAGGCCAGGCACCTACCTTTATGTGCAATTTGGCTTTTGTCAGCAAACTCAGTGTGGTGTGCCGGCTTGACTCGGGGCCCAGCGGCACCAGCCCCTTCAACTTCTCGAGGCACAGGCGGAGATGAGCGCGCCTGCGAACACAGAACCACAGCAGCACTTGAGACTCCTGCACAGGTTCGGAAGCCTGTAACTGCCAGAGCCAGCAGAGGCCGGTGCCAGCAGTACTCTGTGAGGGGAAGAACCTGCACTGAAGCCCAGTGAGGAGCAGAACTCAGGCCTTCTAGAGTGATTCCAAATGAAATTCTGGGTGTGGGCCATAAAATCTGCTCACATCAGCTTCTCCTGAATCAGAAGATGACATGCCCAGGGGAAAGTCCTCAACCTGGTTTCTCTTCCCAAGATGCTGAATCTAATCATTGCTGTGCACACAGGTTTATGCTTGTAGTTATTTACTGAGACAGTTTGTTTAATAATAGCAAGATGGAAGCAACCCAGACAACCACTGTTGGGAACTGGTTAAGTAAGTTACGGTATATGTATCTAGGGGAAGACTACCACTGTTGGGAACTGGTTAAGTAAGTACGGCATACCTATCTAGGGGAAGACTACCACTGTTGGGAACTGGTTAAGTAAGTACAGCATACCTATCTAGGGGAAGACTACCACTGTTGGGAACTGGTTAAGTAAGTTACGGCATACCTATCTAGGGGAAGACTACGCAGCTAAGAAGAAGACTGGGACTGTGCTCAACGGTCATGGTCTTCACATGGTGGGAAAACAAGAACGACATTTGTGTGCTTCTGTGTACCTGAGTCTGCACCAGCTCACCAGAAACCAGCAGCCTGGCTGGGCAGAGAAACGGCAGGCAAGTAGGCACAGAGGAAGAAGGGAAGGACGTTTTTACTGAATAATTTTTGGTATGTTTGGTTTTTTTTTTTTTTGACTGTACAAATCTACTGCTATTCTAACAGTTAGATATATTTTCCCACATGAGGGACAAGCACATCACAGGCCACGATGACCATGTCTGACTGAGAGAAGCACTCTTCCATCTCAGCGTGCTGGACAAGAGCTGACGTGAGATCACAGTCACAGGCAGATCCCGTGACACAGTGACCAGAAGCACAGGGCCCCCACAACTTCAGATCTTTACAGTTCACTGAAACCTTGGTTTGGACTTCACTCTAGAATGAAGCAGATTCCATGAACATGAGAAATGGCCCACTTCCAGGTGTCTATGTAGGTCTGCCACCCCCTTAAAAACCTTTCCGCGCTATCCTAGGCCGCAGAGAATCCTTCTTCTGGGGTTCTCCGTGTGGTTTGGTGTCTGTCCCTCAGCCCTTCACTCATCCTTGGGAGGCCCAGCTGAGGCTTACTCACTGACGCCTGCTTGATAGGACTGATGCCGGTGTCAGCTGTCCCAGTGGACTTTAAACTTCTCAGAGACAGAGTCCAGCTCGCCACATCTGCAGAGCTGGGCCCAGGCAATGCCCATTCCCACACACAGCCAGACAGACAGCGAGCTTCCAGCTGGTGGGGGCACCACTGGGCAATGTGGCTTGGACCTCATTCAGAGCCCCCTGCCCCATCTGGGTCACGGCGCGCTGAGGGCCTCTGAGTTCTGAGCTCAAGGAGCTCACGCAAACTGCCCAATGTAAGGGCCTGGGTGCTAACGGTGAAGCTCTGCCCTGTGGAAGAACCCGCAGCAAAGACTACCTGCTACCTGCTGGGGTGGAGGAGCAGAAGCTGTGTGCACAGTACTGCTGGGGATAATATTCCAACACAGATCATGCCATCAGAAGCAAGATGCAGTGCACATGTATGAAAATGCCACAATGAAACATTTACTTGCACACTAGAAGATTAACTAAAGACGCGCCATGAGGGCTGGAGACAGTCAGTGGTTAAGAGCACTGCTGCTCTTCCGGAGAACCAGGATTTCTTCTCAGCACCCACGCCGGGCAATGCACAACCCATGGAGATCTGACGCCTCCAGGCTCCACAGGCACCTGCGCTCACGGCACATACACACACGACTGTTTTCTTTTACTTTTTTCCTTCCTTCCTTCCTTCCTTCCTTCCTTCCTTCCTTCCTTCCTTCCTTCCTTCCTTTNCTTTCTTTCTTTCTTTCTTTTTTTCTTTCTTTCTTTTGAGACAGGGTTTCTCTGTGTAGCTCTAGCTATCCAGGAACTCATGTTGTAGATCAGGCTGACCTCAAACTCAGAAATTCGCCTACCTTTGCCTCCTGAGTGCTGGGATTACTGCCCATCTTGAAACATAATTTTTTTAAAAATCTAGCTGGATGATGGTGGCGCATGCCTTTAATCCCAGCACTAGGGAGGCAGAGGCAGGCGGATCTCTGTGAGCTCGAGGTCAGCCTGGTCTACAAGCACTAGTTCCAGAACAGGCTCCAAAGCTACAGAGAAACCCTGTCTCAAAAAACCTAAAAAACTCTAGAAAAGGATTAACCATGAGAAAACACCACCAGCACCCGACACCGACGCGACCTGCGGCCCTGCCTCCTCTCAGTGCAAAGCTTGCAGACTAACTATGTAGAGATGCTTACCATACTGTCCTCCTGTGATGTGGTCACACACAGACACGGACTGGCTGGCAGTGTACAGACCTGTCACTGTGCCCTGGGTCATCTTACTGCCCCATTAGATGGCCTTCTGTTACCAAGAGTGGCTTTTAGCTCCTGTCCTGGCAGGCACCACCTTCCCCTGGCTCCTCCTGTCCCTTCAGCCAGTTGCTGGAAGAACTAGGCTGTCTTGCACCTAGGTAACGAGCTCGGGCAGCCTCGTGCTGGCTCTCCAGGAGGAGGGCTGTAACTGGCACGTGCAGACAAGGGTTCGGGTCTACAGCAGCAGGTGACACCATGCTTTCAGCTGGACTGCAATCGCGGTGCTAACAGTCAGGTGTGGCCTGTAACCAGCAGTCCACACGAACCACGGGTCAACCACAGTCCTCTCGGTTGGCAAGTACCCTATGCCCCATTTTTATTACTTTTACCATTCTGCATCAGTCAATTGCGACACAAGCCAACACTAGTTAGAGGCGCGGAGCAGAGGTTGCTTCGCCACTTACCCCCATGTGACTTTGAACTTCCCAACTCTGAGGTCTCTATTTCCTCATCTGCAGAATGGGTGACAAAGCCTACCCTAGAGAGCCTCTGTGGCTCTCTAGAGGGCATAGGGTCTGAAATGTGTACCCTGCCTCGGTTGGCATTGCTCTTCCAAGCCTAGCTCTTGAACACAAGGGTAACTGCCCTGAGCAAATATGGACAAGCCGGGAGCTGCAATCTCAGGGGCTGACTGATAAAACACTCAAAGAAAATGGACATCTGTCCTTGAAATAGCTAGTAAGCTAGCTAACCCTTCTGTGGAAATACAGGCATTGCTTATGTAGAAGGATCAACACGTGTTTATAAGCTAGTAAGTGTAGCAGGAGGTCCCTCTGAGGTCCTGTGTGTCATGTGGCAGCAGGATCCAGGTCAGGAGGGAGGCATGTGCTCACTTTCCAGGCTGCAGGCTCTGGTGTTCTGAAGTACCCAGCCTCCCTCCAAACCTTACTGCAAAGATCTTCGAAATACAAAAGGCGAGGACTCAAAGACCTGGCTGGAGAGCCATCTACACCTGGAGATCTTAAAACCCTCCCTCAGCAAGAGGAAAGTACCACAGTCAGGAGAGAAATTAAAACAGTCTGTGAGGAATTATGGGAAGAAAACTATCAAATGATGCTGAAGGACCGGAACATCTGAGGGAATGGAAAAATCCACACATTCCTGGCGATGACCCCTCAAAGAGAAAATGCCAGCGCTCCTCAAATTTAATTCAAGTCTACAAAACAAAATCCCGACAGTTTTCTTTTCATGTTGGAAACTCAGCCTGAACTCAGCCTGGAAGACTAGGTGCGTGAGATGGCCAGCACTTTGGAAAAAGCCGAGGAGGAAGGCGCTGCACGGGCGTTAAATCGCTGGAAGGCAGTGAGGCCTAAAGCAGGAGCATTGCAGACCCACATTAAGACAGCAGAACAAATTCGCAAGCAGAAAGAGCTGAATTTAGCAGATGAAGGGCACAGTGCTGCAGAGCCTGGGATGAGTGTGTAGGATCTGGCCTGGGAGTGAGCAGGTTACCACCAAAATAGCCCCACCAGACTCCAGGTCTAAATGTAAAACACACTCACACGTCATACAGTGTTGGTAGGTTTGCTCAACTTTCCTTAGCCATGAGGGATGGAAAACCAAATAGCTAAGTGGAAGAGAAATGCCCCTGGGACTGGTGGTGTCTCCCTGACTGTGCAGGCGGGAGCTCCAGCCTCCAGGGCCTGCCCCAGCTTCTGACAGAGAAGTGTCTGTGTTGAGCGCATCTCTGTTGCAGGGCCCGATTTTAAATATGAACCCGACAGCATGCTGAGCAGTTGCTGGTCAAGGGGCGGATACCCAACCAGGTTCAGCGTGGCTGCCATGTGGCAAATGCTTGGTTCTTCCACCCTTAATTCCCTGAAGAGTTTCTCAGGGGACTACAGCGCGTGCTCCTTCCCTCCCGGGCACTGCGGCAGTGCTGGAGAAAGCAAGCCCCTGCCTCAGAGCCATTTAAACTCAGCTCTCATCTGAAGCACCTGAAGGGCTCCTTTGGCCCTCGTCCTCACCTACAGCCCCTGAGATCCTGTGTGCGGTCTATGATAATCTGCTCTCCTCTCTAACGGTCACATCTACTCACTGTCCCACTCACTCACTCACACTGAACTTCCTAGGTGGCCACCTCACTACCAAGGGCAAAAAGATGCCAACTTCTCTGTTCCTTATCAAGCACTGGACCCCAGAGATCACACTGTGCCTGCCCACGCTGACAGGAGTCCCCTGGAGCACGATGCACTTGACTGTACTCAGGGCTGCTGTTAGAAGGTGCCTGTGGCTGCCATCCAGAAAGCAGAGGTGGGCCTTTGGGCTTGGTCTCCCACCAGGGCGTGTGCGCAGACCCCTTCAGGAGCACTGGATGTACACAAACTGCACTGTGCGGAGTCACAAGAACTAAGTCTTACTAAGGAATCAAAGCCTTCATGAAAGTGAGCAGAGGTCTCAGCCGGCCTTGTATTGAGAACAAAGCCTTGCTAAGCTAAACAGGTGAAGATTATAAGTCACACTTTAAGGGAAAGTGAAGGTCTATTTTCCTCTTTTTCTTCTACAGTGATGTCTCATCAACTGCGTAGTGGAGATCACTAATCTGATTGAAGCCCTGGAAGAATCCTCATCCCCATGCTGACAAGTCTCCATAGAGACACAAGGAGCAACACACCCATGATGTGCAACATCAACTGTGCAGCATCTCCATGCAGAAGACACGGACTGTCTAACCTGGGGCCTAAGCGGTTGTGCCTCCATAGTATCTCCTGCCCCAGGGTTTGATTTTCATATAAAATAGATTCTAATGAGGACCTGCTAGCTCTATCGCACCCTGGGACTGTTAATTCTGGCAGTGAAGTCAGAGCGCCCTCAGAGCCCAGGTCGGAGAGGGGGCCGGAAGTTAAAGAAGCAGACCACACAAGTCTCTTCTCCCAGCCTCCAAAGGTTGATGATACCAGAGGTAAGCACCAGAAAGTTAGTTCTAGTGATACACCACCAGCACAGCCTGCATCTGTTCACCGATCCCTGCAGAGGATCGACAGCCTCTGCCTTCACTCCATGTGCCAACAGCCAAGAATTGATTATATCTTACAATGAAATCTGAATGTGGTCAAGGGTGTGCGGAAGCCAAGAGTGGCATGAGGCACAGCACACCCTGGCCAGTGCCCACCACACCCAGGACCTGTGCCCACCACACCCAGGACCTGTGCCCACCACACCCAGGACCTGTGCCCACCACACCCAGGCCCAGTGCCCACCACACCCAGGCCCAGTGCACACCACACCCAGGCCCAGTGCACACCACACCCAGGCCCAGTGCACACCACGCCCAGGTCCTGCACACACCATGCCTGACCCTTGTGATATAAAGAATACGGCCATCTGGAAAGTCAGAAACCTAAGGAATCAGTTCTATGGACCTACGATTACTCCAGAAAAACTACTGGCATGCTCTCTCATGCCAGGCTAGGCACCACTAAAATCAAGTAAAAATCATAGCCCAGACCAAGGCTGCGAATCTGCACAGGGCACACACACAAATCTTTAGTCACAAGGTCAGAAGGCCCTGACCCTGGCAAAGCCCACACCTGAACCATCCCAGAAAACATGGTCTGCTACTGAAGGAGAAGCCAGAGTTTTCTTCTGGGCAGGCCCCTGCTGTGCCACTGGCTCCCGATCCCATCACCATGGCTGGTGTGTTGGCAGCCCCATCACTACAGGGTTTCCTGAGACACTTACACCACAGCAGTTCCTAGACAAGAGACAGAGCAGAACCCACACCCAGCATGCAGTGAGAGACAGGAAGGATACCTGTGTTCTGAAGATCACCAACCTGTTAATCACAAGAACCTACAGCACCCAAAACTATGCAAATCCTACACACTTTTTGCAAAAAAAAAAAAAAAAAGTGTAATGTTTATGGGGAAATGTTACAAAGCTTCGCTTAGAGACAGAAGAGAGATCTGAGCAAACTAAGAGCACCGAGTCCTGGATGGAAAGATCTAGTAGCTTAGCATATACTCTTTCTTGCTTGTTTTGTTATTTTGTTTTTTTGAGACAGGGTTTCTCTATGTAGCCCTAGCTGTTCTAGAACTGACCTCAAACTCAGAGATCCACCTGTCTCTGCCTCCTGAGTGCAGGGACTAAAGGCCTGTGCTGCCGCCACCTGCCTTACATCTACCCTTAAAGGCTAATTTTATTGGATTTATACAGTTTCAACTTTTGAAATCCTAAGAATTTGGGAGAGGAGGAATAAGTGGACTGATTTAAAAACTTGGAATTGGGCTTTGTGGCAGATTATCACAATCCCAATTGTGGTAGGCTGAGGTAGGAAGACCTCCAAGTTCAAGGTCATCCTGGGCTACCAGCAAATCTGAGGCTCCCTGAACTACAGTAGTGAAGTTCTGTTTCAAAAAAGCAAAGAAAATTTTCATAAGAAACCATGGCTTTAGAGGCTGGATAAAAGCTCAGCGGCTAAGAGTATCAGTTGTTCTTCTAAGAGGACCCCATTCTGTTCCCAGCCACCCACACAACAGCCCAGCATAACTATCCATAACTCCAGTTCCAGGAGGATCTAACACATGTGATACCCATACACAGAAGCAGGTAAAATACCCATACACATAAACTAAAATCAATAAGTTTATAAAACAAAGCAACAAAAACCCTTGGCTGGAAGCTGGAGTTAGTTACACAGAGAGCAAGAGCCGTCAGGGTAGACTGGTTTCCTGAGGATGAACGGTACATCGGACAGTTATACGACAGATGCACCTTCCAAGCACACGCTCCACCTATGGAGCAAACACTGCCACCATCTCCACATCTTTCTTGCTTCTTATGAATGCCAGGTATTTAACTGTTGAGCCCCAACCTGGGGTAAGGCTTGTTCTGAATGCCACAGAAACCCAAGTGGACCCAACTCTACCACACCAAAGGGGGGAAAATCCCATCTTAGACTTATTTTCTGGGTTGTTTTTATTTTGAGAGTCCGCACAGTCTTTTTATGAGCTATATATTTTTAGGATTAAAAAATAATGTGTGAGCCAGGCGGTGGTGGCGCACACCTTTAATCCCAGCACTCCGGAGGCAGAGACAGGTGGATCTCTGTGAGTTCAAGGCCAGCCTGGTCTACAAGAGCTAGTTCCAGGACAGGCTCCAAAGCTACAGGAAACCCTGTCTCGAAGAAACAAAATAATAATAATCATAAATAATAATAATAATGTGTGTGTGTGTACGTGTACTACATGTGTGCTTGGTACCCACGGATGTCAGATTCCCTGGAACTGCAGTTACAGACAATTGTGAGCAGCTTGTATGTGCTAGGAATAGAATCCCAGTACTCTCCAAGAGCAGTCAGTGCTCACAACCACACACACATACACACACACACACACACACACACACACACGACTATGTGGACCGGAAAGTGTAACTCAGTAGGTGACTGCTGGGTTCGAGCCCAGCACAGCACAAACTGGGTGTGGCAGTGCACGCAGAGGGAGAGGGAGAAGGGTCAGAAAAACGCTAACCTCTTCCCCTGGGTTGCAGTAACCAAGGTGTGACTAAATTAAGCGAGGGTCAGAAAAACGCTAACCTCTTCCCCTGGGTTGCAGTAACCAAGGTGTGACTAAATTAAGCGATGGAGACCTCACTTCCTTCCCGTTCAGACCACACACTCAAAAGCAGGCAAAGACTTGTTAGGACACCTGTTAGGACCAAATTCCAAAAGGGACAGGAAGCAGGGGAGTAGCAATGACTCCTGAGACCAGCACAAGTTGAAGGGCACACGGGAGCAATCTGAGGTCTGTGCAGCCAGTGCTGACTTCAAATGACAGACAGACACACAGACACCCCCAACACACATAAGCGCGTGCATGCGTGCTCGCGCGCGCGCACACGCACACACACACACACACACACACTCACTCACTGACACTGTGGAATGCTCTCACAGAGGAAAAGGCATACAATCCTGGAAGGCTTGGGATGCAGTCTGTTTTCCCTTTGCAGTGCTGGGATGGGGCCCAAGGCTGTGCACGCCAGACATGCCCTCCACCACGGAGCCCGGGCCCAAAGGGCTGAAACTGGATAATGCAAATAGATGACCACACGAGGGTCTGAAAGAAGGGTGGCCTGAGGAGGACATAGAGAGTCTCTAAGGGTGGGAAAGGGAGGCTGCTGCTGCCATCTTCTACCCGAAGACAGTTTGGAGTTTCTAGCCCCTGACGCCTGAACCCTGAAAGCATAAAGGCAGCTCGGGCTTAGAGCAATGAGCAGGGCGCAGGTGCACACCGTCACACTCACCTCAAACCCTGTAGGGGACCAGGACTGACCGTTTGGTTTCCTTCCCAGTCCCTGCCTGCTAAGGGTCTGGCCTGTCTTTTCCTGGGTGAAACTTAAACACAATTCTGACCTGACGTTCAGAGTCAGGGTCGCTTACGGGGGTTTGCCGGAAACAGGGCCATCATCACAGCAGACCTGCCTGTGCACACGGGCAGGGTGGGCAGCCTGCATGTCAGGGGGAGGGATGCTCAGGCCACAGAATGAGGCTGTTCCATGAGAAAGTCACCTGGGGAGCTTCTGAAGAATTCTAGTGCAGATCCTCAGCCCAAAGCAATTAAGTCTGAATCACTACATGAAGGCTGGCATTATTTGTTTGTTTTAAAGCTCCTCAAAGAATTCTTATTAATTGTTTCTCAGTATGGTAGAGGCCCGTGGTCATGCTTACTTTTTTTTTTTTTTTATTAAAGAAGTCTTTACTGCCGGACAGTGGTACAGTGGTGCACACCTTTAATCCCAGCACCCAGGAGCAGAGGCAGGTGGATTTTTATGAGGGCGAGGCTAGCTTGGTCTACAGAGCAAGTTCCAGGACAGCCAGGGCTACACAGAGAAACCCTGTCTCGAAAAACAAAACAACAAATGTCCTGGTGATGTGACACTTGGTGAGTGTGGGAAACTGGAGGCTGGGTGGACACACAGAAGGACCGCATTTCGCTTTACCTTTGTGTGCAAAGCTTTTCCACTAACATTCTATCCTACAGAGTCAGGAGAGAAACAGCTGCTTTCTGCCCAGAAATCACGTGTGTGCATGTATAACACACATTTTAAAAATTAATTAGAAGCTTTTCCAGTGAGTCTGAAATGCAACAGAGCTGAGAACTTCTAGGCAACCCCACTGAAAGGAGGGCAACCAGGAGTCAGGTAGGGTTTGGGGTAAGGCGAGGCGCAGAGGGTGGCAGGTACAAACAGCACCCAGACCTCCAGGCACTACCTTCCTTATTTTCCATATGCACAGCTGCCTGAATTGAGACTCCTATTCACAAGTTAACTGTAGGCGTGCATGCGTGTGCACATGCACTGCGCATTTTACGCCCATGTGGTGCGCAGACACCTCTCACTATCTATGGGAGTCATCTGAAGGCATTCCCTGGGCCTGAGTGGAGCGGGGTGGGAGGATTAAAAGTGGGGGGAGTAATGACTGCGTCAAACCCCGGACCCCACTCACCTGTTCTTCTCCATTTCATTGTGAGTCGATCTGGAAGAGGAATGAGAAAATAAGATTACTTTTGTCTTTCAAAAAAAATCAATTATTCTTGTCTTTTTCCCCCTTGCAATCATTCTTGTGTTAAAGACTAAGTTCAGTCTGGGCATGGTGGCCCTCGCCTTTAATCTCAACACTTGGGAGGCAGGGGCAGGTGGATCTCTGTGGGTTCTGTGGTCTACAGAGTAAGTTCCAGGACAGCCAGACTTAGATGATGAGACCCCGTATTAAACAAAACAAAACAAAACAAAACACAAACACAAACAAAGTACCTTAAACACCAACATACCTGAATTTGTGTGTGTGTGTGTGTGTGAGAGAGAGAGAGAGAGAGCGCTACTGGTCAGTGTTAGTATCTTTTCAGTACTGTTCTCCACCTTACTTTCTGAGAAAAGGCCTCTCAATGACCGGGGAGCTCTCTGGCTAGATTGGTGGTTGGAGAGCCCAGGGCTCTGTCTCCATACCCACGGAAATGCCTGCTTCCAAGCCCAACTTGTACATGAATATCAGGTGTCCCATAGTTGTAGAGCAAGCACATTACCTGTACAGCTATCTCCCTAGCCTCCATTTTAACATTTTTCTACAAAGTTGGTAGAGAGAAGGTAGACGCAGGTGATTCCCCAGCTTCTTCTAAAGGAGTCAACTGGGGCGTCAGACAATTAAAAATCTTTAAAGCAGTTCAAGTGGCTGGAAAGATGGCTCAGTCATTAAGAGCACTTGGAGATCTTGCAGAGACCTGGGTTCAATTCCTACCACCTACATGGCAGCTCAACTGTCTGTAACTCCAGTTCTCCAGGGGATCTGATTCCCTCTTCTGACCTCTGTGAGTACCAGCTACAAACATGAAGCACATGACACACATGCACACAAAACACTCATAAACACAAAAATATAAATCTAAAGAAATACAGCGCAAGGAATTCCAGTGAATTATCAGGAGGCATGCAGCCCTTCCTAAGGAGGAAGAGGGTCACTTACAAAACACAGTTGTACAGTGTGGTGTGCCCTGGGGTTGCATAACGTTACAAAGCCTTCTTTATGCCGTCTGTAAAGTCACGGGGGTGGCGTCATCTCCCGCCTTACCTCCTAAGGGTCGCATATACTAAAACATGATGCTGTTTGGTTACAAAATCCGATTTTAACTGGTAAAATAATTCCTCCCCAATTCAGCTCCTAAATTAAATGTCTCGTGCAGAATCTCCAGAAGCCGCTGCTGCCCCATAACAGTGAGGTCAAAAGCAGAGCTTTGCAAATTCAACACAAAGACAATGTCTGGTAAAAGCAGGAACTGGGATGACAAAAAGACAAGCTTTGCTCTCTGTAGTGCTGTAGATGAGGTAATTTTGCTATCCCGTCCTTGGCTAACCCCTCTGTTAAATGGGAATAAATGCCGATAATCTACTAAACAAGAGTGGATCAATGAGGAAGCAACTATAAAAGTGGCTGGCAAGGGTCGGATGAAAGGCATGCTGGGTAAGAACCCCACGATTAGTGTTTATAGCTGTCCTTGAGGACTAGGCCTTGCCTTGGACTTCACGGACAGGGTTCCACGGTCACGAGAGTCAACACGACTCATCTACATGCTCCCGCAGCTTCTCTCTGACCAGACAGAAATGTGAGGGAGAACACTGAATCTGGACCTATCATGTGGAACTCTCTGGAGTCCAACTGACTCTGGTTGTGAATTCTGTGAGCCCAGGAGGTAAAGCGTCATGGCAGGACGGCAAATGCTCGGCCATGTATAGTATCATATATAATACCATTGGCACCGCAGCCCAGCTCACTCACAGGGCCATGTGTCTGTCTGTGCGGAGGCAGAGGGCTGACTTCAAGCAGGAAATTTCTAGCCCAGCATTAAAATTTCTCTTCTAGGGATTGGTAAGAAGGCTCAGCAGATAAAGGTGCTTGCGGCACCACCTGGTGACCTGAGTCCCTCCACCTGGTGGAGGGAGAGAACCAACTTCTGAAAGTTATCCTCTGACCTCCACAGGCCGACCGAGGTACATGTGCACCTACCTACACACACACACACACACACACACACACACACACACATGAATAAAAAGGCGGTTAAAGCAAACTTGTCTTCTATAAGGCCCTGGAAGATTAATTTCTGCTCATGACAAGAAACAAATGAGAAAATAATGGTGGCATTTAAAGTTTTGTTTCCAGGATCCCCAAACCAGTCAGTTTTCAGTTGGTTCCCTGGGTTCTCCATCAGTCTGGTCAATGTCTTTCAGGGGTTGGAAGGGACCCTCTGTTAACAAGAATCTGACCTGAACTGCAAACACGTGGCTTCAAACACGTGACGTTTTACCTTTAACTGGGAATTCTAAGTTCAAAGTCTGGCAGTTTTTTTTTTTTTGAATGGATATGAGTGGACGCCTAGTGCTGGTGGAGACTTCCCTGTTTAACTACAGAGAAGGAGCGCCCCCACCCTGTCCCTGAAGACTGGAAAGAGAAAGAGCACCTGGGGTACTTTTCACTAACAACTTCAGGATTCTTTGAAGAGCTACCAACAGACAAATGATTTGTATCTACATAAAAAAAAATTCTGAATCCCCAGGACACACTTTATCTACAAATTCTGCAGGAAGTCTAACTCTGCAATTTCTGCTCAAGTTTTAGAAAGGACAGGTTCTCCTTGATTACTCCAGAGTGTTGCACACATGGTGCCCTTTAAAGGGGCAGCCATCTAAAAGGTGGAAGTGAAGTGTGCTCGGCTTGCTGAACCTGAGTTAGTCATTAATCAGCAGCAGCCACCCCCACCGACTGGTGAGCACCCCGATTTTAATTACGGTACGGGACGATGCACGGAAACGTTCTGTGTCAAGCCATTTTCCATGCAGGCATCGAGGATGGGAGGACTCTGGAACGGCCATAAGGTCAATCCTTCCCTATACAGCACACCCTAATAAAAAGATAACTCATCCCAGGGCAGTGTGTCAGAAAGGCTCCTCGTGTTAGGTCGGCCTCACGGCCGCTCCTTATAAAATAGTTCGGTGACCAAGGCCCGGACTTCCTCTTTCACGTCAGTGGCAGAGCCTGTTTTCCTCAGGTTAAAGACATACACTTCTGAAAACTCCACCACAGGGAGAGGCACGTGTATGACGTTCCAGCTACTTAAGAAGCCGAGGCAAGAAGAACATCAGACCCAGGAGTTTGGGCTAGCCTGGGCAACAGGACTGTTTTTAACCTTTTTTTCCCTCCAGTGCTAGAGACTGAACTCAGCGCCTCACACATACTAGACAAGCGCTCTCCCACTGAGATATACCTTATGCCACAAGATGTCTTTCTTTAGAAACAACAGCAAACAAGAACAAGAAAAACAAAGCTCTCAGTTTCAATTCTAAATAACTAAATGATTTTAAAAACCAGTAGGAAAGAAAAATCCTGTTTTTCTAATCCAGTATTTCTCTGGATGATTCCAAAGCAACTGGCATTCACTATGCTTGTTACTATTGTTACTACTACTATTATTATTTTTGACAAAAGCAGTTTTAAAACAAACTGCATTTTCAGTTCCCAAGAAGTTTGAAATAATGACTGAATCTCATTTTTTATTGTTCAAAGCAAAGTATTTCCTCAGACTCCACAAGCAAAGAGCATAACATTTCATCCTGAACGCGAACATGTCACTGTCAAAGGGTTCTGTGAACCAGCAGTACCTCCCTGGCCTTCTCAGTTCGGATTTAGGTGACAGGGTTCAGGGCAGAAGGCTGACTCTGACTGGTGTCCAGCTCCTCTCTGACGGCGCTCTTGCTCCTCAGGTGAGGGACGTGCCAACAACCACGGAAGAGACCATGCCTACAAAACCCACCTGCTCAGACTTCAACCCTTCCCACATCGGCTGCATCACACCCATTCACTGGCAGTGAGGTACACGGACAGCGGGGATAGCCCTGACTCTAAGAACAGAAAGCAAGCCACTTAACAGAAGCGTTTTCAGCTTTTGCAGAGCCCAGGAAAGGCAGCCACATTCCAGCAGGGCTGTAGGCTCGCAACAAGAGGTCTCTGGTGCGTCCCTTAGCATTTTAAGCTTTTTTTTATGCTTTTTGAATCATCCTTCGGGGACCAAGTCACTACACAATGCCTCTCTAGTCCCCACACCTCAACACCCCCAGCAACCTTTCTATAAAGGGGGAAAATAGTGTTAAAGCATCAAAGTCTAAGACTAGCAGGTGGACAATTCCTCCCAACTCGGGTGGTGATAACAAAGGCAAAAGTGAAACACACTAGTACAGAAACGACAACGAACAACGCCCAAGCCTTCGAGTTCTATGTGAAACTATTAAAGAATGCCATGGGCTCAGATCAGCACGGGCCTCCTCGAAGGCTGCGGTGCCCACGTGCAGTGTTACTGACTACCGCCGCCAGGCTATGCTGGATGAGAGGACGAGGAAAACCCACCAGGTAATTACCGGGGCAGGTCCACCCTTCCTGTGCCTTAGTCAGGAGCGTGGTGCAGTGTGAGGCTCAGTCTGGGATTCCAACACTAGGGACTATGGACGGGGTGAGCCAAGGGCAAGGTGGGTGAATTCGAGGTGTGAGTGGGCACTTCCTGGGGTTTAGTGGTCTGTATTAACCACAGAAGCTACCTTATATGGTATCCATGTGCTGGTGGGAAGTTATTCATGAGGGGGAGGGATTAGGATTCTAAATTGCTGATGAAAATGTCAATGATTTTAGGCATGGCCTAAATTGAACGGCCCCAGTAACACGGACTCCTACCGACTAGTTAGGGTTTCTTGATTTTTTTTTATTTGTTTGTTTGTTTTTTGTTTTTGTTTTTGAGACAGAGTCTCTCTATAACCCTGTGGTCTCACATGAAGCTAGTCTGGAATTCCCAATGTGGACCAGACTGGCCTCCAACTCACAGACATTCACATGCCTCTGCCTCCTGAGTGCTGAGATCTGAGATGTGCCCCATCAGGCCCAGCTCCAACTAGTATTTTAAGGACAAGGAGGGGGATATTGGGACAGTCACAGAGAAGAACGTTATTGTGGACCAGGGGTCGTGAACTCTCAGTCACAGCTTTTGAGGACTGGAAGTTAATCTGTGCAGCTAACAGGAAAAGGCTGGAACTTGCTGACACCCAAATGGTGCGTGCACCTTCTCAAAGAAGTGGTCTCTAACCTCAATCACTCTGCTCAGCCAACAGAAACAGAGGTCACAACTGGGTTATCAGACAAACGACTGCATTGAATTTACATGTTAAATATAAATTTCTACCACCTGTGTCAGGCCAGATACCTCGTTTATGAAATCTTCACCATGACCAGCAAAATCAACTGATAACACGCTGCGTTTCGACTGAAAGAAAACGTGGGAACTCTGTTGCCTGTAAAGAAGGTGAAAGTGCTGACCCTGCTGCTAGTCCCAAGGAGTTTTGCTTTGTTCTGAGGGTGAAAAGTAGATTTTTTTTAAAAAAAAAAAAAAGGTCATAATGAAATGTAAGACATTCCTACTTTCTCCTCAGTTTCCTCAACTTAAAAAGAAGGGTTGTTTAGCACCATGTCTGATTCCCGGACCTTCGATGTGTCTGTAGGGCTAGAATCCCAGCAGCCAACTCACAATCAGCCATCGTGTTAGCTACAGAGAAGGGGACCACTGAACAGTTACCTGCTACTGGTGCTGTTCTTCTTGGGCTTGTTCCTCCGTTTGAAGGCATCTCTGTCCTTGCTACTGTACGGCAACATGGAGGCATACCCATGTTCAGCTTCTAGAAAACCGAGGGGTCCCGTTAATGAATGGGCCCAGAGCATCTGACACCCTGTCCCCGCGTCCGTCTGTCTGTCGGAGTTCGGGGCACCGGCCGGGAGCAGGAAGGCGGAATTCTGAGAACAATGCCTGCTCTTTCCTGGCGTGGACGCCCTCGGTTCGGAGCAGGTGTGGAAGGTTCCAGCTGCTCGCCGCCCCCCGCGCTCGGCTTTTGGGGCGCGGGCCCGGGGGTTGGCGCTCGCGGCCGGCCCGCGCCCCAACCACCCCAGCGGCCGCCCGCCCGGCCCGCAGCCCGCCGTGCACCTCTCTCCCGCCGCTCCAGGTAGTCGGCCGCCTCCAGCAGCAGCTGGATGTTCATCCCGACGGCTGTCGCCATCCTGCACCCGGCGGGCCGCCTCTCGGTGCCCGCGGGCCGCCGGCCGGGAACGCCGAAGAGCCGCCGCGCTGGCCAGCGAGGAGGGACAGCGCTGGGACGGCACGGAGCCCGGATCCCAGCCGCGGCCGCCGAGTGTTTATCCCGACTCGCCGCCGCCCGCCCCCGGTCCCGTCCCTTGACAGGCCCGCGGCGGCGGTGCCCCTCATTGGGTCGCCCTCGGCACAGCCCGCCCCTGGACCGCCGCGATTGGAGAAGTGCCCGCGACCCCGCCCCAGAAGCCCGCTCCTCTCGCTGGTTGGCTGGGCTTGACAAGGCCCGGACTCCGCCCCCTGCACCCTATTGGCCGCAGGACTCGCAACTCCGCCTCGTGCTCCTGCCTGCTTCCCATTGGCTGCATGCCGACAGCCGGGCCCCCTTGGGCTCTGCGGGCATTGGGCAAGCACAGTACAGGGAATGCCGCTGCACCTGAAGCTCATTGGCTGAGCCCTCGGAAACCTCCCGGCTACGATGACGTCACCACTTTGCCCAAGCAGCGGCCCACTTCCGGGTTGCTGATTGGCTATGAGGCAGGAGGGCAGGGGCGAAGGCCCGCCCACTGGCCACCGACCTGTTGCCCACTGTCTCCGGGGAGAACTTCAGGCCTAGCCGGGTACCTCCGACAGATGGCGGCACGTAGCTCCCACCCGAACGGTGCGGGGGGGGGGGGGGGGGGGGAGAAACGGCCGGCTCCCCTAGACCACGCTTGCACCTAGTGGCCCGGCCCGGTGCCTACAGAGTAAGGCTGAACCCGAGGCCGCCCCTTTAATCCCAGAGGAAAACACTCCCGAGCAGGCCTCTCTCCCAGCCCACTAACCGAGTACTCCACCGATACCCACTGGAAAGCTCACTGTAAACACAGGCCCTTGAGCAAACACGATTTTTGAAATGAGAGCTCATTCGAGACCCAAAATGCAATGTCTACATCTCCAATTTAAAAGATAGGGATAAAGCTACAGGGTAAGAACTTTGAGAACTGAAACGAGCAGGATATTTTTAAATAAGACATATTTGTGCTGTCAGCACGCAGTGTTAGCTTTCTTGGGGCACAGATGTCAGGTAACCTACCAACACTGTTTTCACCCCTCGGGACAACCTCGAGGAGCTGTCATCCTTACCTACATTTTGCACATGAAGAAAGGGGCTCCGAGACAAGTAACTTCCCTGTTCTTCCTTAGCTTGGGGAAAGACCTGAACCCCATGTCCTCTCACCCACAACTGGCCTGGCAATGCTCTGATTTGGAGTTGTACCAAAACAAAACAAAACAAAACAAAACAAACAAACAAACAAAAAAAAACCCAACCAACCAAACAACCAACCCAAAACACCCCACAGCAGGTACAGAGAATTGCAGACAGTCAAAGAACACAACCAAACTGTGGTACCACATGGTGGACAGGGTGCGGCTCAGCGGCAATGCTGCCTGGCCTGTGCAAGGATCCAATCAGGGCTCTATGCTGACACACACACGGAAAGCAGTTTGTCATGAAGGCACACAACTTGGAAATAAGAATGGAGAAAAGAACCACTTGAAACATTTTTAAATTGTATGCTGTCTGCTAAAATTTAAAGATTAAGGTAATGAAAGCAACTATTAAAGCAACCAATTTAATATTCCTAAACATGCTGTTTTGGCCATTTTCACATCTTGGGTTTTGCACTTTTATATTTCCTCACGTTTCTCTGAATATTTGACATCTTTTCAGTCTTTCTCTTTTGCTCTCAAAAATCTGTTTCAACCCAGTCCTATTTCAAGATCCTAATTCTTCAGCTACAATTACTCCAGCTGAAAAGCCACATGTTCCTTTTTAGAGGGAGGGGTTCAGAGTTTGAAACCCAAACCAGAGAGAGCAAATAATTTAAGCACCAACAAGTCTAAATTCAACTCCAAACAAAAAATACTCAATTATATAAGCATCAGAGAATAAGACAGGAATACAGCAGCTTCCTTTCCTGGTGATAGAAGAGGATTAGTGACACCAACAAGGACTTGACACCAGGAAGAACAGAGCATCTGGTGCCATCTGCTGGCACCGAAGCAACAAGAGAAAAACAAAGGGTGCTGGAGCTTCCAAAACCCCAAACTACATACGTGTGAACTGATAGGCAGAGCCTTGCCTCCCAAACATGTGGGTTCTAAAATGCTTGAGCCCCAGTTTTACAGCAAGAATTTTAATAAAAAAATCTGCATATGATAAGGAAGGTGCTTTGATGTGGAAGTCCCCACTGTATGCTATGAATAGCATGGGCTAATAAAGGAACTGTTTTGGGCCTATAGCAGAGCTATAGGAGAACAGAGCTAGGCAGGGAAAACTAAACTGAATGCTGGAGAAAGAAGGGCAGAGTCAGAGAGAAGCCATGGAGCCACCACCAGAGACAGACACACTGAAACTCTTCTGATAGGCCACAACCTGGTGGTGATGCACAGATTCATGGAGATGGGTTAAATTAAGATGTAAGAGCTAGCCAATAAGAAGCTAGAGCTAATGGACCAAGCAACGATTTAAATAATAGTTTCTGTGTGATTATTGCGAGGCTAAGCGGCCAGGAACTAACAAGCAGCCTCCTTGTTACAGATGCTTTACAGCATGCAAGATAAAACTAAGGAGTGAGTAGCTAAAACAGAGAAACAAAAACATAGGGCATGGCTATGGGACAAACTTTGTCTAGTCTCTTAGCCCCTCTGGTTCCTGGGTGAAAGGTCGCAGCCCACGCTGAGCTCACCTCATGCTGTCAAATCTGACAAGGAGGGCTGCTTTGGCAAGCACCTCAGAACTGGATGCCCACAGCCCTCAACTGTCTGAAAGGGCTAAGGCTGTGGGAACAAAACATTCTTCACAATCAAGGCTACAAAATCACTCTGAAATGAATTTTGTCTTCTAAGTTTTTGAAGAACTGATTTCATTTTTGGAGGAGTAATATCCAAATAGGACATTATTGCTTTTAATATCAACCCCTTCTTTGCAGTCACTGTGAACACTTCAATGTCATGGCTTCTCTCATCATGACAAAATCTTCAAAACTTCTAAACACATGCATACACACATACATATATATATACCCATATGTAATACATATTGCACAGCACACAGAGGAGGGCAGCAGGGGTTTGCTAAAGGTAGATTAATTTACATAGGCACAGAAAACTCTACAAGTTTCTAAATTAATTATATAAATTGAATTATAAAATTACTTCTACATGTTATTTATTTAAAAAAGAAAAAAAGGAAAGACAGAAAAAGAAGCAGGTTGTGGTGTAGCACACCTGCAACCCAGCACTGAGGACTGGGGCAGGCAACAGTGGCTTCTATGTACGAGGGCATTAGGGGCTGGAGAGTAAGCAGACTCGGTGGTTAAGAGCAACTGCTGCACACGCACAGGATCTGGGCGTGGTTCCCAGCACCAACATCACGTGGCTCACAACCACCTGTAACTCTGTTCCAGGTGATCGGATGGCCTCTTCTGGTCTCTGCATGCACATGATGCGCATACAGACAAGCAGGCACAAACACAAAACTACAACCAAATCGGTAACTTTAAAAAAGAGAATCAGTCCTATTTAACCTAATGTCTTAAATATTTTCCAAAAATAAATAATATATGGTTAAAAACAAACATCAGAAGTGGCTCAGTGAGAAAGCTGACAGCATTATATTCTAATTCAAAAGGAATATACCAGGCACTCTGTGGAACTGGGGCTATGTCAGCAAACAAGGCAAGGCCCATTTCTCAGAACAGAAGGAGCAGTTGGTGAAAGCACAGAGGACCTAAGTTTGCACTAAGTGCTGTGAAGGTAAGTGGAAGCGGGCTTGGAGAGCAGGTGTAGCACCTCCTACTGCAGGGGAATGGAGAAGCTTAAAAGAGTTATTATATAACCCAATAATTTTGCTTCTACATAGACTGTCCAGGGAACTGAGAATAAAAATGTGTTCACTGTAGCTAGGTGCTGTGGTACATGCCTTTAATTCTAGCACTGGGGAGGTAGAGGCAGGCAGACTTCTGTGAGTTCCAGTTCCAGAACTGCCAGGGCAGTTCTCAAAAAATAAACAAAAATGTATTCATACAAAAGTGTACTAGTGTCCGTGGGTCATTGTTCACAAAAGCAAACTAAATGCCCATCTGCTGCTGTTGAACTATAAGCAAAAACATGCTATAAGCTCAGAATGGAGCACCAGTCAGCTGTACAAAGGGACACCAATCCATGCCACGATGAGGATGATGCCAAGTGAAAGCACAGGTGGAACTGTGCGTGAAACACCCACAACAGGCACACATGCAGAGACAAAGCACATGCTGGTGAGCTGTGGCAGCATTAAGAGTTGACAGAAGCTGGGAGATGGTGGCGCACGCCTTTAATCCCAGCACTTGGGAGGCAGAGGCAGGCGGATCTCTGTGAGTTCGAGACCAGCCTGGTCTACAGAGCTAGTTCCAGGACAGGAACCAAAAGCTGCAGAGAAACTCTGTCTCGAAAAACCAATAAAAAAAAAAGAGTTGACAGAATATTGAGAGTTCACAGTTTCTTCAAGACTAGAGGTGAAGATGGGTGCCTGCCTAACTGAACACACTGAACTACTATCAACTTCAACAGTATGTTTTATGGTCTATGAATCCTATGCCAACATGAACACATCTAGGAGAGAAAACATCCAGGGGAAGAAAAGAAAGTGGGAAGAGTGGGCAGTGACCCAGCAGAAGGGTCCAAATGCAACGAGCTATGGTGTGAGTGCAGATCCCACAGGAGCCTGAGACTGCAGCAAAATGGGCATTAGATTCTAACTATCACTGAAACTAGGGGGGCATGCGGTGATGTCTGCTGCCGGGTGGGGAGTAAAGAAGCCAGCAAGAGCAAAGAGAGGGGTCCATCCGGAAATACTACAGCAGACACACAGCCAGACACATATAAAATATGTTTACGCACTTATGGGCTGTCTCTAAGTGGACATGAAACCTGCTAATAGATACCCTTTTCAAGGCATCAAAAAAGGTTGATCAACTATGATACAACTAGAAAGCTACAGGATGCCATTATCTCTAAACAAGATGAGCATAAAACTGTCCAGAGTAAACGAGGCAAGGGTTACCTGAGGGCTGAATGCACATTTTATATTATTTCATGGGTGGGGATAAGAAATGTGCTCCCAGAGGAGCCTGAAA